AAGGTATGAAGACCAAGATGATGTGGCCTTTTGTGTGGTCGCAGTCTCCTTTCGTTGTATAGAGGTTGTTCGACCTTGTGTTCGCAACATGGTCATATTTGTAGGAAGACTTATAGGAACGCATCCAGTCCGGAGTCCATTGTCTGCATGATCATTTTCAAAGTTAAAACGTGGATGTGATACATTGTCAAACGTTTCGCCGGCATCGTGAATGAGTATCGTCATTCTAAGCACCACACAACAACTCGTCAAAGAGACAAGTGAAGCCCATCCTTTGACCAACTGTGTGATAAACAATTCTGGTATCCCCCCTTCTGCTTTGGGTTATTCGCGTTTCCAGTAGCATCATATCATGCCTTCACTATTACAATCTTTTACCAATATGACCATGTTGCGAAAACAAAGTCAAACAACTCCTATACAACGAAAGAAGACTGCGAACACACAAAAGGCCACACCATCTGGGCCTTCATACCTTCGAATGGGGATTTTATTTGTCTAATGGGGCAAATGAGTTGAACACTTTTGACTTGGCCAACTTAATCCCGCTGATCGGGCGTCTCTGATAATGCAACTATGTCGATTCAGTCTCATTCTAGCGGTCACTTGCATTCCTCGAGATTCTAGTGTCGCTTCCATTTTCATTGAAAGTTTGCTTTTGTGGGATTCGATGATTTGCTCTTCCGGAAAGTGTAGAAGCCATGCTGGACTGTTGCGCCTCCTGATGGGCGTCTTAGATGAGAGTATTTTCTATGACTATAAATGTGTCTTGGATTAGAATATCATTATTTATGCATATAAAACCTCGGCATACTCTTCTGCGACCCCGAGACATCTCTGCTAATCTGTCATCTGTCGTGACGCCTTGAAGCAACATTCGCCACAAACGAAGCCATCAAGTTTGGCCACCTGTAATACCCAATTTTGTGATCTTAGTTAGAATCTCACGATTCTGTTACATGTACCAATACAGGACAGCACTTTGTGTGATCTAAGATCCGTCACTTTGCGAAGATTTGAGTCAATAAGGATTAATTTGATCTAGCTTTAGCAAATCACTCGTAGAGTCAGGGAGACAGACTGCAAATCCCCTACCACTCTCGCATTGTAGACATGCTCATTTTCATATCCGAAATGCTTACGAAAGTCCTGTGCACAGTAGGGGATGCCTCCTTCGAGATCTTCCTGACACGACGACAATATTGCACAAATATTATCATACAAATTATATACAAATAAATGAGTGTGGTCAAAATAGAGGCCATAACAACTTAACATTCAAGCCGTTGCTTGATAAGTAACAATACTAATCAAACGGTAGAATAAAAGAAATTGATCAAGAATAACTTATGGTTGTTGGGTAGATGTATAACTTAGTTTTGGGTTGAGTATACATTGTGCTACTGTTGACTTTTACTTAAGCTGAAGGCTTTCACATCAAAGGTCTCATCAATTCTCCCAACCGGATTGGAAAGTGGGTCATTAGTATCCTGGCACAAAGTTAGTGCACACACCTACAGTCAGAGATACCAGTAGGCTCCTCTCACGTTACTGTTCGATTGTATACGTTCTTGAAATAGTAAATGCATATATTCTTCTAAATTAGGTTTCAAAACCATCCATAAATGTTGAATAATAATTCCATTCATCCTAGGTGATAATTCACTAGGCAAGCAAGTCTAAGTTAACTTGACTGGAGACGTGGTCCTGCCCATCAGTTGGGAAAATTCGTCCATCGGTCTCTCATGACCTTATGCGTGCCAGGGCGATTAAAACTATTATTCACTCCAAATACATTTTGGCCTTATTGAAAATCCCATTATAGTAGTTGAAAATTGATGACAATTTGCCTATTTCAAAGTTTACACTTTCATACAAACTAAGGACACACAAAGCCGTGTGGCGCAGCAGTAACATGTCGCCAGTTCATGCTGCTTTTGAAGCTGATGGCGCGATGAGATGGAGTCAATTGGACAGTTTAACCTGAAGAAGAAAAACTTTTGGGGGCAAGGATATGTGAAGATACATACTAATTTCACTGTGATGGTTTCATTAAATCACTCAATATCATCTAAGATGAATTAATTTAGTAATATAGAAGACCAATAATGTAAAAAGCATAAACTCATTTAATATGTTGCTGAGACGTAATTAGAGCTGACGATGAGACTGAATTAATTAGCCTGGAGTCTTGTTTAGTGTCTCCGAGTATATTCGAAATGAATTTGGGTTTCGAGGAACCTCTTGGTTTATAATTGTTGAGTTCACATCCATTTTATGTGAAAGTTATTGCTTCAGTAGTGAAGATATTTGATGTTGCCTCCATCAAGAAAATAACGGCAAATTCTTCTTGGCAGGTTGTCGATTGGCTTTACGGAAACTTTCTTCAAGAC